AGACTCAATGTATTAGCACACCGAAGTCATTCAGCGGTGACTTTAGGCAAATTATTAACCTGCTACTCCCACACCAAAGGAAGAGAGTTCCAACAGATCTCGGGGGCTCTTGTGAGAGTCACAGGTGAATTAAAGCACCCAGCACAGAGACCGGCATGCCATAGACTCAAGAATCAGGTTTCCTTTCTCTTATTTATCCAGAGCCAGTAGAAGAGAAGAGTAGAAAAATACATGTAATACAGGAAGGATTCTTAATTATGCCCAGTATTTATAACCTAGTTATTTCTCCGTCCTTGGCCCTTTTCCATTTCAGATATTCTATCAATATTTCACCCACACCTCTTGGATCTGACTGGAGTGCTTTCTAAAAGCAGTCCCATCTGAACTTGAGTCCTAGATCAGGAAGAGTTAGCAGTTTGTGTTGTATTTAGAGAGTAAGTATCTTTAGAGAATTGGGACAGTGGGGTGGTGGTTTGAGAGAGTGCTCCGCATTCACTGTTCAGCCAGCTCCAGAGAGTCTTTTTGTCCCTCTGGTGGCGTCCCATCCCAATACCATTTATAACTGGGCTCGATACAGGCTTTGTAACAGGAGTTATCACTGAGTGCTTTCCCTGTGTCAGGTGCTGCTCTAGCACTTCATGGGCATGAATCATCTAATACCCCTCTGAGATAGCTCTATTACTAGCTCAGTTTTATATATGAGGAGAGCACTAAGGCACAGAAAGATTAAGTGATGTGCCTGGGAACTTCCCAGCTACTAGTAGACCTGGGCTCTGAACCCAGCAGCTGCTATTGCGCGCCAATAAAAGAAATGTTACTTTGATTAGCCTTCCTCTCTCTCCACACAGCCACGAATTGAGAAGTGGGGATGTGGGTGTTTTCTGTGTTAGTTTTTGCCTGAGCTGCTATGGGAAGTATCTTGTGGAGGATGAACTCGTCTTCATTTATTGGTGAGTGAGAGAGTTGCATTAGAAATATGAACAAATAACAACTACAGTTGATCACGTACACATTTTTTTAATGCAGAAAAGGAGAGTCCCAGAAACTAAATAAACTAAATAACATTTTACTGTATTATCTGGGGTAGTGTAGTAGATTTTGAAAAACTGTGGACTTAAAAAAATTCCAGAGGCCTTCCCATCATGTACAAACATTTTCATATAGTCAATTAATAACCAACTGGTTTTTGGTTATCACTTATCATACAAGTTTAGAAATTTAGACTGTTTCATCGTGAGAACAACTGCCTCATTTTTTTTTCTTTTTACTTCTTTGATTAATTGATGTTGAAAATACTCATTTCTTTGTAAGTAGCAATGGTGGTTAGTTGAACAGATATTTATTGAGTCAAACTGTGTGTCAAACTGCTCTGGAGAAATGGGATGAATCTCATTGCTTACAACACTAAGGTTAATGTTATGATCCCCACTTCACAGGTAAGAAAACTGAAATTCAAAGACATTAAGTTACATGGGCAGTAAGTAGAGAAGTTGAGTTTTGAGCCTTGGCTGTGGGCAGATGTGGAATTTCTTTTGGGCAGAGACCATAATTTTTTTCATGTTTGATGATTGAATGGCTAATTTGAAGATGTATTAAAGAGGACCTGCATCCAAAAAATGTACAGCCTCATTAAGAGAACAGTATTTATACGAAGTTAGCTAGGTAAGATATGGAGAAGGAAATGGCAACCCACTGCAGTGTTCTTGCCTGGCGAATCCCATGGACAGAGGAGCCTGCCAGGCTAGAGTCCATGGGGTCGCAAGAGTCGGACATGACTTGGTAGCTAAACGACCAGGTAAGATATACACAAAACATAGAGATGAAAGATTGCTTTCAGCCGAGTAGGTCAGCAAGCCTTCTTTTTTTTAAAAGAATAATCTGTATTTATTTTTGGCTGCGGTGGGTCTTCGTTGCTTTGTGTGGGCTTTCTCTAGTTGCAGTGAACAGGGGCAGCGCTTTGTTGTGGTGCGTGGCCTTCTTGTTGCAGAGCACAGGGTCTAGGCGTGCAGGCTTCAGTAGTTGTGGCTTGAGGGCCCAGTGGTTGTGGCACATGGACTTTGTTGCTCCATGGCATGTGGAATCTTCCAGACCAGGAATTGAACCCTTGTCTTTTGCATTGACAGACAGATTCTTACCCACTGTGCCACCAGAGAAGTCTGAGGAAGGCCTTTATAAAGAAAGGTGCCTTTTTCTTTTTTTTTAAGTTCAGGGATAGGAGGACATTTTTGGTAGAGAGAATAGCAAGCAGATAAATCTGAATTAATAGCCAAAGAAGAAAAGGTAGGTAGGTTGGCGGTACGTTTAGGGAATGAAGGGGTTTGGAGCATAGCACACAAAGGGAAAGTAATGGAACACCAGGCTGATAAGGAGATCCGGACCAGATTCTAGTTTCCAGGTATATTTCTCCAGCATCCTGAGCTTTAGTCACCATGTGGAACCCATAATCTTTTAAGAGCACCCTGTGTGTGAAGGTTCCTCTTCACCTTTGCTCATACTTTTTCAAAGCACAGTCTGCAGTTCCCTTTGCTGTCTGACCCTTTTATAGTCTTTCTTGGGCACTCCAGTGAGAATTAATTGCAGCTGCTTTGGTGGTATATATTTTTATTTCACAGTTATTTTAGTTTGCCTTCTCACTGTTTACACCTTCTCTCCAGCTAAAGATTAGCCTTCTATACGGCAAGATCAGGTCTTCCATTTCTCATAATATCCATTCTCTCAGTCCTGTGGCCCAGTTGAATCTCTGCACATAGTTAATGCTTGGAATATTTTGGAATTAAAGGAATAATGGTATAGAAAATTGTATTTAATTTCCCTGGTAAATACTAAATTAGTGCCTAAAAGTGAAAGAAGGAAGAATTTTATTAGATTATTCTTTACAGACATATTGACATTATACAGTATATACATTGGTATTATATAGTAAGTATTAGTATAGACATTTCATGATACTTATAATGAGGAAGATAAATGTTAGTAAATGTTATAGTACGTTGTCGGAGAAGGCGATGGCACCCCACTCCAGTACTCTTGTCTGGAAAATCCCATGGACGGAGGAGCCTGGTGAGCTGCAGTCCATGGGGTCGCGAAGAGTCAGACACGACTGAGCGACTTCCCTTTCACTTTTCACTTTTATGCATTGGAGAAGGAAATGGCAACCCACTCCAGTGTTCTTGCCTGGAGAATCCCAGGGATGGGGTTGAACAGAGTCAGACACGACTGAAGTGACTTAGCAGCAGCATAGTACATTGTGAAAGTGAAAGAACGTTGCTCAGTTGTGTCCATGTCTGTGTGACCCCGTGGACTGTAGTCCAAGGAATTCTCCAGGCCAGAATACTCGAGTGGGTAGCCTTTCCCTTCTCCAGGGGATCTTCCCAACCCAGGGATCGAACCCAGGTCTCCTACATTGCTAACAATAAATGTTAATCTTTTACTAAGATGGTTGAGAATAGAATAATTGATTTTAGTGTTCACTATGACAATAGGAGTGTGTTTATGTGTATTTACTCTTAGACTTTTAAATTTTCTCTTTTATTCAAACACTGAGAATGTCCCAATTATTTATTGTAGACAAACATTTCAGTTGCAGTTATTAAAAGCAGTCAGATACAGACATTGCCACATACTAATTGGGTGACTCTGGGGAAATTGCTTAAACTCTCTAAATGTCAGTTTCCCTATCTGTAAGATGAAATAAAGGTATCTTGGATTATGATTGTGAGAATTAAATGAAATAATGTAAATAAATAACAGTTTACTTGGTACACAATAATTCTAAATAATTATAACAATTTTTATTATTTTATTTACTTAGCATTTAATATGAGCTTGCTAGAGGTTATTGTATTTAGTATTATGCCTAGCTTGATCATCTTATCCCAAAATTCTCTTTTTCAATTTTACTAAAATGAAGATGATATGTCTAAATATTATTGACTTTGTGTTATTAAATATATGCTTGTAAAGGTTATTTGAGATCATGATAGATACATAATGAATATGAATAGACTATTTACACAATGAAAATGGAAAGTGAAGAAATGTTAATATTAATAATTATAATTAAAGATTAGATTAAAACAAAAACAAAGTATAGGTTTTTTTACCTGCCACATTCATTTTTTTAAAATATAATTGTATAAATCAGAGTCATAGGGACACAGGTATACTAATGTTATTCTTGGCAATATAAATAGATATAGTTCATTTGGAGGACAATTTGGAAATGCTTATTTAGGAGCCATATTGATATTTATATTGTTCGACATAGCAGTTCTGCTCCTGGAAATATATCCAAAGAAACGAATCTGTGAGACAGAAAGTGTGCTTAAAATGTTTGTGGTAGTACTATCCATAAAAGTAAAAAGAAAACAGGAAACAGACTGAAGAATAAGATAAATGATAAAAGAATTGTTATGCAGTTAAAAATGTATACTGTAGCAATATAGGAGAATGCATAAGTAATAATGTTGGGTGAAAAATGTAGAACAAATTGTGAATTTATCATTGCTATAACTGTAAAAATGTGTGTGAAAAATAATTTTGCAGGGGAATGTAAATGAACTGTTAACTGAGTTGAATTATATGTGATTCTTTTTCCCTTTTAAAAATTTGCACAGAGTTAATTCTTGAAATATTTGTGAAATTAAATGAATAATGGTATAGAAATTCTGTTTCTTTTTTTGTGCCCAAAACTACTAACAGAATGAATAGGTTAGTTTGATTATTCTTTGTAGACATATTGTAAGGTTGTTTCAGTGTTGACTTTTAAAAAGTTGCACTTTTAAGTAGAAGAAAATCTTCATATCTTTGTACCTGAGGATAATCTTCATATCTCTGACAGCTTAGAAAAAGGTTATCATTAATATTACTGTGACATGAAATATTAAGTATAATGTGAGACATATATATATATACAAAATAAAGAGGACTTTAAAAGAAAGAGAAGCCACATCTTCAAGGATAGGACTATTTGTTTTTAATATGACTTCTCTTTATTTTAGAATTGATAGATGTCACATGCACCCTGCTACTTCTAAATCCAGACTTTACCACTGCATGGAACGTAAGGTACGTCACTCTCATCAGTGATAAAATGAAATTATTGAAATTTCTGAAGACATATAAGACCAGGAATTGTTAGCTTTTTGAAAATTGAAATATAAATCACGTGTTCATGGCATCTTACACTTATTTCTTCTTTATAATATCTCCATGACAATTCTAATACACAGTTTGCTCCTTTTTGCATGTTTATGTCTATTCTCCCTCAAATTCATGAAAATATAAATTTTCATGTTGAATTACAGTATACCATTTGATACATGCATTTAACTTCCTTTTTTTTAGAGGGGGTAGAGGGACTCAGTATAATTGTTTGGATTATGAAGTGTTGGTTGGTTAGTGTATTTGAGAAGCACATCAGTGCAATGGAATGTGTAAAGGTAAGCGTTAAAGGTCACAGACTCTTAGGTTAGTCATATTGTGCCCCCCTGTGGGCAGATCATTTGACATCTCGCCACTCAGTATTTTGGAGAGGGACCACATTTTTTGAGTGTCTTAAGTTCTTTAATTCTGATTGTTGTAGCTTTAAACACAGAATGCATTATAGAAATTGCGGGGAGCCAGCCTGACTGCTCAGGCTCCTTCTTGGCTCTGAGAGAGATCAAGAGATCCCTCTCTGTCCCACCACCCCTGATTTATTAAAGCACAGGTTGGCCTTTCTCACCTCCATCAAGGAAATTGCTGTAGCGATCTTTCACCTGTTCACCTGTTGCTGATAAACTCGTCATGATTGAAGCCTGTTTTCTATCCAGTTAATGTTCTATTGATTTCAGTTGGGTGCTAGGGTGATGCTTTACTGATCTTAAGTGGAGGAATTTAAAACACCTGTGCCTGTAGCTCTGCACATGNCTTTTGACTAATAATCAGATATTTAAAGAATAAGCAAGGATGAATGTGTTAGAAGGTTTTAAAAATTTACAAATTTTAGAATTCTCATTTTCTTTTATGGGAAACTCCAAGTGGTTAGGGAGTAAACTAAATGTTTATGAGTGGCTACTCTATTCCAGGGACCATACTGCAACTTTATATGTTATCTCATTTAATCCACACAATACTGGACAACATTTTTTCATCAGATATTTATCGATTAACTACTACATGCTAGGTCCTAGACCCAGATGATACATTTAATATGAGAGAATGAAGAGGGTCAGTCTTGACTCTGGTTTTTGGCCTGAGCAACTGAAAGGTTGAAGTTGCTATTTACTGGAATGGGGATGTTTGGGAGAAGAGCCGAGGGGTGTGTGCTGGTTGGAAGTCAAGAGTTCATTTTGGGACATGTTAGGTTTGTGTTCGAGTAGCTGTGTGTGACTGTAAATGTCAGGTGAGAGTTCTAGGCCAGATAAAATTTGGGAATCACTGGAAAATGTATCATAGTTAAAGCCTTGAGGTTGTTTGAGATACCAGTAGTGGGTATAGATATTAGAAAAGAACCAGTCTGAAGACTTGAACACTGGGACACTACAGGTTTCTAGAGCAGCACAGTTCAGTATAGTAGCCTCTAGCCACGTGTAGCTATTGAGCCTTTGAGATATGACTAGTCTCCATTGAGAAGTCCTGTAAGTGTAAACTACACATCAGATTTTGAAGACCGAGTAACCCCCCAAAGTAAAAAATCTTTCTTATTAATAATTTTATATTGATCACATGTTGAAATTATAATATTTTAAATATATTGATAAAATAAAATTTTACTTTATACTTGTTTTTAATGTAGCTGTTAGAAAATTTTAAATCACATATATGGCTCACATGTATGACTCACATATTTCTGTTGGACATCCCTGTTCTAGAGTTTGTGAGATGAGGAAGAATCAACAAAGGAGACTTTTAGGAAGGTACTAGAAACTTAAAACGGAGAGTTTTCTTAAGGGTACAGACGATGTCTTCTTCTTTTTTTTTTTTTTTTATTTCCCTAGCATCTAACACTCCAGTGCCTGGTATATAACAGATACTCAATTTGCAGACTTGACACTGAAAATAATTAAATTCAGTGAAAAAGAATGAGTGTAATAGAGAAGTGGAAGTACCATTTTTATGTTCACATATTCCTCATCATTACAGAGGAATCGAAAATCCTCCCACAAGAAAATAATTTTTATTAACATAATATATATACACAAACACATAATTCATTGTATATTCATAGGGCAGTTTAGTGGTGAAGAACCTAGTTCTTAGATATATGGATCTTAGTCCTAGTTCATCAGTTAACTAGCAGTTGACTTTTGACAAGACTTTTAACTTCTCAGGAGTTTTAGTTTTCATATCTTTGAAATAAAAGATCTGAATAAGGTGGTTTTTTTTTTTGATATGATTCTTTTGGTCTATGTTTTGATTGTGTGTGGTTTAGTTTTATGAAGGGAAGTTGCTCCATAAATCTATCTTTAATGATGTTAATATCTGTTAATCTTGAAGCTTTTCTAGTAAGGTGATTTAGTAACTTTTGTGCTAGATGAGTAGGAAGGAAATCTTGATTTTTTAAAAATCCATTGTAGATATGTTTTCTAGTAAATTTTAGTTTACATTAGTAAGATTGATGTACAAAGACATAGAATCATGAATACATTTTGAGCAAGAAATGAACTTTGAAAGTAAACTGATCTAAGCCTATAAGGTCTCACAAATCAAATACTCAACATTTTATGTCTGATTGTTGGTACATTTCTTCTGACGTAACTTTGGGAAGCATTGAATGATTTTTGGCTGTATTTTATAAACAGCTAAAAGATTGTATAACACATCAGTAGTTGTTGCAGTCTCAGGGAAAAAATACAGGCAAGAATAAGTTTTTGAGTTGATCTGTAATAAGTAAGTCAGTGCTTTCGTTGTCCAAAGCTGAAACAATTTGAGCAATAAAATAATGTAATAATGGATTATTACAAAGTATAAAATCAATATCCTTAAGTCCATGCTGGTATAAATAAATGCTTGAATAAATAGAGACAATGGACAACTTTTCAGTACCGAAGAATTCCAAATAGTTTATCTAGATAACTTCCCTCAAGGAAATGGAGCATATCTCCCTACTCCTTAAAGTGTAAGCTTTTCCCAAAAAGTAGAGTGGAAAAATCTAGCATATACTACCTAAGCCAGATATTCAAGGTCAACATCAACAGTGACAAGTCATGCTGATGTTACATACCCCTGATACAATATGATGAAGATAGCACTTTACGTCTGTGGTCCCCTCAAAACCCATAACCGTAGTCTAACCCTGAAAAAAATATATAAAATACCTGATGAGTATTCTTCAAAATTGTCAAGGCCATCAAAAACAAGGTGTATCTAAGGGACCAAGAGGAGCCTACAGAGATATAACAACCAAATATAATGTGATATCCTAATGGGACTCTAGAATTTTTTTTAAAAAATGATATTTGGTAAAAAATGAAGCAATTCTGATTAAAGCATGGACTTCCAATACTAATCTATAAGTAATGGTTCATAAGTTGTGACAGTTGTACCATAATAATATAAAATGTTAATAATAGAAACTGGGTACAAGACATACAGGAATTCTCTTTATCATTCTTAAAAACTTCTCTATAAATTTAAAGCAATTCTAAATAAAAGATTTATTTTTTAGAAAAACTGAAGTTGGCAATTTCATATTATTCAATATAATACAGGATTTTTGTGATAATTAAAGTAGAAAATATATGTAAATCACTTAACACTGTGCCTGATTCAGGAGAAGTGTTCAGTAAGTGGTGGTTTTTATGCGGATGACTTTTATTATTATCATCATTATTATTTCACACAATAACTTAAGATTAAAGAGTGAAAAAAAGGTGGCATATGTTCAGTCAATATTTACTGTATACCAAGTACTGGGCTAACCAGTGGAGATTTTGCTATGGACATAATACACATGGCCCCTGGTTTCCTACAAATTCTGATTAGAGTGATAGCAGAGAGAACCCCTAATAGTTTGAGAAGGGAGAGAAAATATAATAACTCTATAGAAGAAGATATACTTTGCAGAAATATGCTAATAACAATTTGTAAACTTTAAGGTGTAAGTACATGGAATAACTAACTTCTTAGGATATTTAATTTTTCAATTTAATTGCACACCTTTATCATGTTAACATGAAATATTTTAATTTGTAAATTCTTCATTTTCCTATTTACATATCTCATTAGACAGTTAAATTCAAGCTTCTCACATGGCTTATTAACATCAGTGACTTTGTCATCACGAGAACTATTTTTTGAGTTATCTAGTACAGTTTTCTGGGCTTCCCTGGTGGCTCAGATGGTAAAGAATCTGCCTGCAATGCAGGAGACCTGGGTTTGATCCTGGGTTGGGAAGATCCCCTGGAGGAGGGCCTGGCAGCACACTCCAGTATTCTTGCCTGTAGTATCCCCACAGATAGAAGAGCCTGGGGGGCTACAGTCCACGGGGTCGCAAAGAGTTGGACACGACTGAGCGGCTAAGCACAGCACAGCACAGTTTTCCAGAGCACATTGTGTTTACTTACATTTAAGTTGTTCCAGATACAACACTTACCAAATTCACATGTGACTGGAAATTTTATCTCAAGCTATATTCCTACTTGAATACATTAAAGTACATGTTTTTTGTTGGATCTCTAGGTTATGCGATTGCTGATAGCTATAACTTAAACCGATTACAATATTTCTTTTTCATGTGATCTTTTAAAAACTTGTTTATAATGATCCAGCACCTACAATGTTCAGTCCTTCTCCTAGGAATATTTCTTAAATTGATGGTAAAATTTTGCTTCCTTTTTAAATGATTCTACCAGGCAGTCTTTTTAAGCATCCATCTATACCATTGATTGAGGTTGTTTTAGACTAAGATATCTTTACAAGTATAACTTTGTTGTTCAAAATAAAGAGATTAAGAGATGGCCCTTATTTATGAAACTTTATAAAGATTCAGTTGTAGGGTAACTTCCTCTTTTCTGAAGAAAATTATATTTCCTCTTATGTATAGCTACATATGTGCTTCCCTGGTAGCTCAGATGGTCAAGAATCTGCAATACGGGAGACCCAGGTTCAATCCCTTGGTTGGGAAGATCCCCTGGAGAAGGGAATGGCTACCCACTCCAGTATTCTTGCCTGGAGAATCCCATGGAGTCACAGGGTCAGACATGATTGAGTGACTGACGCAAACACACATAGACATCCGTGGGAATATAGGTAGGCAGCTATAAGTAAGGAGAGGTTTAAATGTAGTAAATGGAAATCTGGCTTAATAGAGTACATTGTCTACAGTAGCCACGCCGCAGCAGCAGCAGTGGTTTTTAAACTCTAGGGTGCCCTGGAGGAGTGTTTAAAACATATTGCTTTGCCCCGCTGGACTTTTTGATTCAGTGTGCTTGGGGTGAGGCTTAGGTTCCAAATGATGATGATATTGCAGTTAGGGACCCTATTTTGAGAAACATTGCGCCTACAAAATATTGAAGAGTTTAAGTTACATAGAGTAGTATTTTGCCTTTGAACAAAACATTACATATTTCAAAAGAAAAAGGATCTAGAACTATAAAAGTAACTGGCTGTTGCGACAAATATTCCTTTGATGACATAGATCTCCTGTGCATTGAAAGAAAAATAGTCAATAAATCATAAATCATTTTTTAAAGTAGCCATAAACCTTGGTATCACTTCAGACTGTTTTACAGAGTTAAATTACTGACCTGAAATAAAATTGATTGTAAAATGCAAGTATTTATTATCATTATTTAGTATTTTCATTAAAAAGGAAGTTCTTTTCCATATCAAATATGAATCTGTTGGGAAGGAAATGCATTGTGGTATTTAGGAACCAGGTCCATCTAAGTAGGTGAGATATATGGTCTAGGCTCTGGTTTTGTTGAGATTAACATCTCTGAAATAAATGATGAGCCCCTACCACAGGAAAGACATTTTAAGATTAATAGAAACTAGCAAATGACCTAATTTTAATATAAAACAATAGGTAAATTGAAAAATCAGAGTGTAATCAGTAATATCAGAGCTTATGATCAAAAACTTAACTGAGAAATTCAATCTAAACTTATATTAACCTGAGAAATAGGTGAAGCTCTCTTGCATGACATACTTTATAATTGCATTGAAGCTTTGAACAGTTTTAAAATAACAAGTTCATATTCCTTTTACTTTTGTTTATATTTCAAAAAGGAATGGTCTAGTGTATCTGGAGCCATTCAAGTATTTCTCCTGGTAATGTCTTTTGGAAACTTATCCTAAGTAGTAGTACAAGTGAAGTTATAAGCACAGAGGTTTTTGTTTCAGAATGCCTTTAGAATGACAAAAACTTGAAAGCAACCTGAAATGTCTAATTATAGAGGGCAGGGTTGTTAAATTAATGGATAGCTACTGAACAAAAACTATGTGACCATTTAAAATGTTTATTTTAAAGATTATAAAGAACTGTGGAAATAATTCTCAAGATATAAGAGCAGAATATAAAATTACATGTTAAAATATAGATGCATATGAAAAGTAGAAGGGAAAAATTTAAAAATAAACTAAGTTTGTTATGATGGCTATTGAATGTTTTTTTTCCTTACATCTCAATCCAATGTGTTTGTTGTTGTATGTGTGGTTTTTGGTAATGAAGTAGACCATATCGAGTCCGACTTAGGAAGCTAGAATAATTCTTGATTAGTATTGGATCTGCCCTACATACACTGATGTCAGGCTTTATAAGTTTTGAAAATGATACAAATGATTTGCCCTCTACCAAATAAACAACTAAAGTTCCACTGCTGATTTAAGAGCTTCCGTTTCTGTTTTTTAATTTATTTCAAGATTATGAGAATACATTCTTGATTACTATGTATAACCTTTAAGAGAGTTTTATTTTTTTAATTCTTGGAAATTTGCTTCACAATGAAATTATATTAATAGTCATGCAGTTTATTTGTGTAGAAAGATAAAGTAATAGTTCTTTTTATTTTTCTTTTACAGAAAAGAGCTGATCCTCTCAGGTACTTTAAATCCAATTAAGGACTTACATCTGGGAAAACTGGCCTTAACTAAGTTTCCGAAGAGTCCAGAAACATGGATTCACAGGTGTGGTTAATTTACACCACAGAATTCTTAGGGCTTAGAACGGCTGGAGGGAAAAAAACACAGAATATGAAGCAGGTCACATACTGATTACTGAATTCTGAAATCAAATTATATCTACATTCAAGCCTAGATGCCATCACTTTCTACTTAGGTGATATCTCGAGATTATTTAATCTCTTCAAGCTTTGGTTTTATCATTTGTAAAATGAGAATAATAATTACATCTATCTCAGAGTTATTGGTTGAGTTTTACTTGAGGTAATGCATGTAAACACAAGCGCAGTGCTCGGCATATGTTAAATACTCGGTAAATTTTATGTTATTACTGTCTGTCTGAAGCAGTTATGGAAATTGCACTTAGATATTCAACTATAATGAGCAACTTGAGTTTTAATTAAATTTGGATTTAATTCAGTCAGGTATGTTCCTGGTAAAAATGGTGGTGGTGATTGTTATGGTTATTAAAATTAACCAAATAAAGGCAACTGAGGTGAATGGGGTGTAGACTGAATTAAAGTTGCTAAGACCTTAAATGCAAAGGATATTTTTAGGTTAAAAGCTGAGGCAGATGATCAAAGTGCATATAAGAACTCTTTTCAAAATCCTAGCTATCTGGACGCATTTTACTCTTGGATCCCATATAACATCTTTGACTAAAATGAGATGGTCTGGACTTACTGGTTGGGGTTAATGGGGGCATTCTCTGAAGAAATCTGTTCTTAGTTTATTAAGCCACTTTTAACTTTTCTTAAATCCTGAGCATTTTTAGAATCTTAAAGTCAGTTTAAGGTATCTTAACTGTAACCTTGCCTTTGGCTAGCATTGCAGAGCAGCTGCTTCCGAATGATACAGTTGGTTGTACTTTCTCCCTATTAGAAACTGGGATAGCAGACTACAGAGAGGTGTTTGATTATGTGTATGGAGACTAGGAAAGGGGTGATGGTAGAGGAAGGGAGTTATTATTAACATAGATGCATCCATCGATTTATTGACTTGTCTAATATTTTATAAAGCAAGTTTTGGCTGTTAAAAATAACATTATTTGAAAATGACAAAAATGAATTTTGTTACTCAATTTCCTGTGTCCTGACTTGAAAATTTTTAATCTATAAAGAATGCTTTCTTATGAGAAAATATTTGTAAAAACTAAAGACAGTAAGTGGCTAGAGGCACTTTTGAGTGCTTTTCATTTAAATGTATGCTAATAAAAACCTTAAATAGATAAGGGGAAAATTACAGATGAAGACATTTTAAAACCTCCCTGATGGTTTCACTAATTATATTGATTTTTTTTCCTTCCAGATTCTATGCTATAATATAGAAATTTTGCTTCATAAAAGCTTAATACAGCTTCTTCTTTGCAAACACACAAAGGATGAGGCATGCACATATAATTAAAAGTGAACTGTGCTTCTTTTGAGTATTTACCAGCCATTAATTAATATCACCCCTTCCCATACACACAGTACCTACCACCAGTCAGACCACACACACACACACACACATTCTTGTTGCCTTTACATTTCCTGGCCAAATGAAGTTTTGGAGTTGTCATTTCCAAATTGATGACATTTCTCTTTTTGACAGATGTTAACATTTTAGAAGCTTTTTCTATAATCTTTGTCCTTTATCCTCACCACCTGACCCCCCCACCCGCCTACATCCATGGTGCTAAAATTATTATCATTAAAAACAAAAACAACTCTCCCCCACAAAAAGAAAAAATCCTTGAATACTGGGCATTACTTTGCATAGAGAACTCTGGTTGTTTTCCTCTCTGGTTTATTTTCTTTTCTCATTTTCTTGCCCACATGTTACTTTAACAGGCGATGGCTGCTACAACAGCTAATTCAGGAAACCTCCTTGCCTTCCTTTATGACCAAAGGAAACTTGGGAATAATTCCTGCAGAAAGGACACAGCAACTAATACGAGAAGAGATGGAGGTCTGTGGTGAAGCAGCAGGGAGATACCCAAGCAACTATAATGCCTGGTCTCATCGCATCTGGGTTTTACAGCACCTGGCTAAGCTGGACACCAAGGTAGGGTGTTATTTTGTGTCCCTAGGCACACTTCTGTCTGCCATTTAAATCATCTGGTAGTGTGTAGTAGTTCCTTCTCAGAGGAGCTCTTAGAGAAGCGGAGGAGCTAATGGCCCAGTAGCCCAGAGAGGATTGCAACAACTGACACCTCCAGGGAAACTGGCAATTTAAAAAAAGTTTGTGTTTCTCACCTGCACGGCTTTGGCACTCTTAGGCTGGTGTACTGGTAGAACAAAGAAGGTTTAAGCAGTAAGGAAGACTGAATATAGCTCGTTTTGCCCTGAAACAGGAAGAGATTATTAAACTTTATACAATTGAAAGTGTTCTTTCTTGGTAGCCTTTTGTTATGTGAGTTAATGTGCTAGATCAGCTGGCTGCCTTTTCACAATCTCTTCTCCTGGGGAGGGAGCAGAAGAATCTCACACAGGTGTTCCCACACTTGGCCGAGTCTGTAAATTACCTGACGATTCTTACGTCCTACCCCACGTCTACTGAATCAAAATGAAGGTAGGATTTAAAGATCAGTATTTTTCAAAGGTTCAGGGGGTTATTTGGATGCAGAACCAGGTTGGGAACTGTCACTGCCTAATCCTTTTAGTTTAGAAATGAGGAGATGGAAGTTTCCAGAGAATTTTAATGGCTTGGACTCAGCCACGGTTGTATCATTTGTTATTCATCAGAATGAGAGCCAGGTATCCTTGTACTCCTTCTTACATACTACAGCTTCTCTATTTTTTCTTCACTTCTTATGGTATCAGTGCTTTAGAATCTAGAGTACTCTTCCGAAAGCTTCCCGGGCTTAAGACAATTTAAAGGGGTCAGAATGTCTTACATGGTGCTTTCATGTTAAGGAGGACGCATTCTCCATTTTTGCTTCATCGCTTCCTGTGTCTCCTTTCAGGTCCCCTCTCCTCTGTATGTGTGCTAGCCAGAGACTCCTCCAGAATAAATAGGAGAGCTTTCACTTCTGAGGGATTTTAAGCCAACAATTCTGAAAGAGAAGGCATTCTTTGCAGCTTACATGGCTTTGCATTTCAGGAGGGGTGGCCACCTAATGGAATGGAAAGACAAACGACAGAGTCACATTAACCCGGGTTCAGATTCTGGCCCTGTTAGCTTTTTGTGTAAAGTAAGGCTTTAATGTTTTCATCTATAAGATAGGGGCTCTGCTGCCTGCCTCAGTGGATTATGGTGAAAATTACTTGTGTTAATGTGTATAAAGTACTGGGCACCTAGTAGAGGCTCACAGAATTTTAGTTCCTTTCTCTGCTCCCCATAGATAGAAAACTTAGGCGAAACTTGACTGCCACCTTGCTTGGTCAACTCAGTGCAATTCGTTCATAAAAAAAGTAGTGAAACTTTATCGTTACCAGACACTGTCCTATACATTGGATATGGCATAAAGACAAAAAGCTTACTATCAACAAATTGGAAAATCTAGTTGAAACAGATACTGACAGTTACAAAGCAGGGTGACACTTGCAGAAACTGAGGAAATTTCCAGGCACAGCGGGAGCACAGAAATGTCTCCTTATCCTGACTGGGCTCGTAGACAACAGCTGCCAGAGGGAGCGATGCTACATTCTCAGGGCCTAGAGCAGGGAATTCAAGTTATCTGGTGGGTATAGGGGATGTGGAGTGCTTTAAAGTCAGTCATCTCAGCTGCACAGCTTGGTGTCCTGTGGGAGGCAGGCAGAGGGAAGGGGAAGGTTGTGGGTAAAGGAAGGCAGAGTCAGGTGAGCCGAGAGCTCTTTGGAAACTTTCTTGCCTTGATGTGGACCTTTTAAAGTAGCAGTCCATAAATCAGAAACACAGGGCCAAGGTGAAATTCTTGGTTCCTCAAGACCATCTGTTGTTAAAGATGACAGCACATAAGTCATGTATGAACTCATCTGCCCTGGCCCACTGCTAGGCTTACATGTTGTCAGCCTGCCCTCCTCTGTCCTTGGGGGTCTTGGCACTTTTCCTGTCACCACTGCCACTGTCTCACTCTCAGTGAAGGGTGCTGAATTTACAAAATCCACTTTCTGTTCTTATAAGCTATTGGGCCTAGCTAGGAGATCATGATGATGGGAAAAGACCCTGATGCTGGGAAAGATTGAAAGCAGGAGGGGAAGGGGACAACAGAGGATGAGATGGTTGGATGGCATCACTGTCTCAATGAACATGAGTTTGAGTAAGCTCCAGGAGATGGTGAAGGACAGGGAAGCCTGGTGTGCTGCAGTCCATGGGGTCACAGAGAGTCGGACACAACTGAGCAACTAAACAACAGGGAGATCATGTCCTACAGTGCTTTGTCTGTTAGAGGAAGTAATCACAAAAGTATTAGTTGTCTAGAGCAGCTTAAAAATACATATAAAATGAGTGGTATTTTTTTACTTAGAAAATTGAAAATGATTTTTTGAAGTGCTCATATTTAGTTTGGTAAGGGTGTAAAGTAAAAGTGAAAGTCACTCAGTTGTGTCTCTTTGCAACTCCATGGACTATGGAATTCTCTAGGCCAGAATACTGGAGTGGGTAGCTTTTTCCTTCTTCAGTGAATCTTCCCAACCCAGGGATCGAACCCAGGTCCCCTACATTGCAGGCAGATCCTTTACCAGCTGAACCACAAAGGAAGGCAAGCATTATAGAAATTGATAAAAATCTTACCAAAGGGCAACATGATAGCATTTACCGGACTTTAAAATGTTTGTTATCTCTAATGTAGCAGTTCTGCTTCTAGGCATTCATCCTGAAGAAAAAATAGGAGATGCAGTGTGATACAGTGATTAAAGGTTTCGCTCAGTGATCATACAAACACAATATGAATGCTGACTCTACCAGCAATTTGCTCTGTGGCCGTAAAAAGGGTTCTTAGCCTCTCTAACCTCAGTTTCCTCATCCGTAAGTTGGGGATAATGACAATTCCTACCTCTTCGAGTGATGTAAATTAAGTGGGAGAATCCACATAAAGTGGCTGTCCCTAGTGCTCATACTAAGTGATCAGTAAATGCTGGATATTATATTAAATATGGAAGTTTGATATAGAAAAATACTGTACATAATAGTGAAAAACTGGGAACAGTCTAATAACAATGCATTTCACTGCAGTTCATCACAAAGTAGAATATTTTGTTGCTACTAGAGATTATATTTTTAAGATTATTTAAAGAAAAATGTTAATTATAAGTTAAGGATATAAAACTAAATATGAAATGGGCCTAATAATTTTTTATGTTATTAGCATTGAATAATATTTAATGTGTTTTGAATAGTACCTGGCATATTATAAGTGTGCAACAGATATTTATACACACCAGCACAGTGCCATTATGGATATATTTTGTTATATTTTCTTTTTTTTTTTTTTTTAATTTTTATTAGTTGGAGGCTAATTACTTTACATCATTACAGTAGTTTTTGTTATACATTGATTGTTATATTTTCTATAAGCATGTGTTTTCTAGTCAGGAAGAAAATAGGTTACAGAATAAAGAATGCTTACTAGTGCTATGGGGTAGAATTATGAGAGGTTTTAATTTTCTATTGTTCCCTGTGATGTTTGTGTTTTTCAATGGACATATATTAAAGTAAATTTTAAAATAATCTATTTTTTCAGGGTGGGGTGGAAGGAAACAGTCACAGTTGAAAACACTAGAAGTAGTATTCCATTTATGAGACATATTCAGAACAAGCAAAGTGGATTAGTAGGTGCCAGAGACTAGGGGGACTGGGGAATTAGAGGACTCCTAATGGGAATAGGGGTTGTTTTGGAAGTGATGAAAATGTTTTGAAAGTATAATCCAGACAGAGGCAAATCAAAACTACAATGAGGTATCACCTCACTCCTTTCAGAATGGCTGTCATCAAAATATTTATCATCAAAAATAATAAATGCTGGCAAAGATGTAGTGAAAAGGGAAACCCTTGTACACTGTTGATAAGGATGTAAATTGGTACAGACAGTAATGAAAATAGTATGAATTTTTCTCAGAAAATTAAAAATAGAACTACCATATGATCTAGCAGTTCCACCCTTGGGTACATATATGAAGAAAACAGAAATACTAATTTGAAAAGATACATGTACCCCAGTGTTCATAGCAGCATTATTTACAGAAGCCAAGCTACAAAACCTTCCCAAGTGTCCATCAACAGATGAATGGACAAAGAAAATGTGATTGATATATATGTGTGTATATATTAATATATATGATGAAATATTACTCAGCGATAAAAAAGAATGAAATTTTGGCATTTGCAGCAACATGGATGGCCTTAGAGGATATTACGCGTAGTGAAATAAGCCAGGCAGAGATAAAGAAATACTGTATGTTATCACTTATATGTGGACTCTGTGAAGTAAACAAATGAATTTAACAGAAACATTCTCAGATACAGAGAACAAACTAGTGGTTACCAGTAGGGAAAGGGGAGGGATGAGGAGCAAGATGGGAGTAGGAGATTTAGGCAATAAAAGTTATTGTGTGTGAAATGAATAAGCTGCAGGGATGGACTGTGGCACAGGGAAATACAGCCATTTTATAGTAACTTTAAATGGAGTATAGTCTATAAAAATATTGAATCACTATGTTGTACCCCTGAAACTAATATAATATCGTAAATCAACTATATGTCAATAAAAAAGAAAAAAAAAGTGTATGAGAATTGGATGACGGCAGTGGGACAAGGGAGCCTGGTGGGCTGCCATCTATGGGGTTGCACAGAGTCAGACACGACTGAAGTGACTCAGCGGCAGCAGTGGCTGTAAACTCTGTGACTGTACTAAAAATCAGAATTTTTTTTCAACTTCAAAAATTAATCCTAATAAAGCTTCAAGAATAGCTAAGAAATTGTTGGGAAAAAAGGAAAAATAAGGAACTCTGTATATTGCCATATGTTTATATATTTAAATGTTTATAGAAATAGAGTATAAAAGCCTAGAAACTAATTCCAGTGCACAGTATGTACAAATTTCATTGATGATAAATATGGCATTTCACATGATTGGAGAAGGGATTCTTTGCTCAATTTGTGATGCTAATAAGATTGAATTTTTAGAAAATGATGGTTAGATTTTAATCTCACATACCAACCTGAACTCTTAAGTGAAATAAAAACATGTGAAGAAAAAAGGAATTTAAAAAATCAGTTGCAGTAATATATAAGAAAAATATTTACAACACAGAGACTTAATACCTTTAATATATAAAGGTATATATATATTGCAAACTCATAAGAACAGTAATGACTTTCACAAAGAATAAATTGAGCAATTATAAAAGAGAATTAGACAAACAGGCAGTTTGTAAAAGAAACAAAGATAAGTGAATAGGAAAAATATTTAGCTTTAATCATAATTAAGGAAATGTAAATTAAACATGATTTTCCATTTACTGGGCTTCCCTGGTTGGCTCAGCCAGTAAAGAATCCGCCTGCAATGCAAGAGACCTGAGTTCAGTCCCTGGGTTGAGAAGACCCCCTGGAGAAGGGAACAGCTACCTACTCCAGTATTCTGGCCTGGAGAATTCCATGGACTGTATAGTCCATGGGGTCGCAAAAAGTTAGACATGACTGAGCGACTTTAACTTTGACTTCCACTTACTAAATTAGCTAAAACTAAAGTATTGATGAGGAATTTAGGAAACAAACATTAAGATCTTCTTCCAATAGGGGCATAAATTATACAGCCTTCCAGGAGGGCAGTTTGAAATACACATCAAGAACTTTACAGAATTTTTCTCACTGTTTCAATTAGTATACTTCTAGAAATTTCTCCTAAATAAAAATAAGACATGTACATAGATTTATATGTGTGTATACATAGGCGTGTTACTTAACGCAAAGTAGAAACAAAATGACGGAATGGTTTAAATTGTGATAATCTTTAGGATGAAGTATTATGCAAAAGTTTAAAATTATGTTGTAGAGTAATACTTAATGAAATTGGAATAAATTTATACTTTAAATGAAATAAAATTTTGATATAAATGCTATCCAAGTAAATTAAACAGATGCATTATTGCAGAAAGCTGAGAGATTGGTTGTATGGTAGAATATTTAAAGTAGTCATTGTTGTTCAGTAGAATAATGAGTGATGTGGGGATTTTTTTGCTTCTTTATATTCTGTATTTTTACATTTTTCTATAATAATCATCTTATATAATCAGAAGAAAAACCAAATGTTTTTTAAAAAATTCATGGAACTCATGGTGTATGTGTATATAAGAACTCGCATTTCTAGTAGTCTTTCATTTTAAACCTGTCATCTTCCGTTTCATAGCCCTGCTTCCATAGTTTCCTTATAACTTGTTTATTCACTTACTCATTTTTATGTGGAATGTTGGAAAAGAATAATTATACAAAGGTCTTTTGTTCTGTCAGTGCCTTCCAGTTAAGCTGTATCTTTGTGCAGTATCTTTAAGATCACTTAAAAATAATTGCTGTCTTTTTAAAAAAAGAAATCACTGCCTTTTATTCTACTAAGAAAACACCCTGAAATTCCTGTTAAAAGATTTCTTCTTTAGTTAGTAGGCATTTTATATCTTAGGGAAAAGAATATAGTGAATTTTTCTCTTAAATAGTCTCAGAAAAGAGTTATTAGGAATTGAATTAGTTTTGTTGAAAACCTTTTAAATATATGCTATTTTTGCCTCAAAGTTACAATAAATTTTTAATTTTTACATGTAGAAAATATATAATAGAAATAAATGTTTTTCACATTATATAAATTCATTTTAAACAAGTTTTATAGTCTTTTCAATGCATAGTAAGAAGCTGTACCATAATTAAAATGCTGCTGTATAATAGTCTGAATTTCCTACAGGTTAATTCTTCAAAAATATAATTCTTAAAAAAAAAAAACCTTAAGATTAGTTTTTGTCTTGCAGGTAGAAGTTTATCTGGTGGATTTATTTTGCCCACCTTTTAAATCAAATAAGCAATTTGTTTTCCATTTCTCAGAGACTCACTGGCAATAGCCTCTGAAATAAATTTATGTGGCTGTGAATTAACTCATTATAATTTAAAGGAGATGTTTAAAACATTTCACTGATAAAACTTGACCATCCTAGGTGGGAGTAATCATATCCCTCTTTACCAGTCACTTTGTTTATTAAATTGTTCATTTGTTCATTCATTCATTAAACATTTATATATAGGGTAAGGGTGATGGGAACATTAATTAGAAATGAATAAGTATCTTAAAAAACTTGTATAGTTTAGTGGGGATGAAAAGGTATACAGGAATTTCTATAATATATATGATGGAACATACAAGAACTATGGAGGCTGAGAAGAGGGAAGACTTCTAGTTTTCTCTTTGAAAAGTAGAGAGGGATCTTGCTTAAGAAGAAGGCATTTGCCTGAGCTCCTTGAAGAGCAGGTAAAAGCGCCTCTTGGCATTGTGTGGTGTGTATGGTTCACTACTGATAAGTACATGTCATTTTTCCTTAACTGGTCTGAACATCCTCTGACAGGTGTGGTAGGCCCTCAATACACCTTTTTCTGATCAAAACTTATTTGTTTGCTAACCTGACTGAGACACTGCCAAATAATTTATTTTTTCATAAATGCTGCTTTTTATCTCCATTTGAAATTCTTTCGTTTGCAGATTTAAACAGTTCACTGGTGAATTTTGTCTTACCTATTTAAAAAAGTCTCTTATCATTGGTGATAAGTTTGAGACAAGTAGTGAAAGTCATGAGCACTTGAAAATTCCTGTTAGTCCTGCATCATGTTTTTGTACTAAGCCCTTAGAATTAAGTAGTGAACCAAATAGACATGGTTTCTGCCCTGATGACATTTAATAGTGCCAGAGAAATAATTACACTGAGTCTATTGTTGAACACATAGTTAGATACAGTACAGATTCATTAAATGCAAAAAAGGTTTCCATCAAAGTGACCTCTGAATTTATATTTTCCCTTCAGTATAAGCATTAAATTAAAAATGAATACCCAGTGTCTCTACTTATTTTAGAATCTGGCTGTTCTATGTGTATGCCAATTAGAAGGTCCTTAAATTCAGTAGTATTTAAAAAATTATTATTTTCTAAAAGAAATGGAATATGAGTATTTATTAAGCAACAACACTGTGTTGGATGTTATGTACAAAATATTGGTAGGAATGGCATTATCAAAACAAGGAATGAATGAAAGAAATTCAAAGCATTAACGGAAAAAAGAAAACCGTTAGCAATTCCTCATTTCACTTCCCTTTTTCCTTCCTACAAGATTCTTCTTGATGAACTATCTTCTACTAAACACTGGGCATCCATGCATGTTTCAGACCACAGTGGATTTCACTACCGCCAATTTTTATTAAAGTCTTTGATTAGCCGAACTGTGACTGACGGTTCTGTATTGGAGCAAAGTCCTTTGAGAAGTGAGTCAACTGTAGTTCTCCCAAAAGATGAAGAAGCAGTGGCTTCAGCAGAGGAATCAAGGATAAATCTTCCCCATCTTCTAGAAGAAGAAGTTGAATTCAGCACTGATCTTATTGATGCCTACCCAGGACATGAGACCCTTTGGTGTCATAGGTAAGAGAAGGAAGATGTATTTCCTGCATGAAATTCTGTGTGTCCTTATGAGAGTTGCAGAAGGCCTTACATCTGACTCGAGCCTCCTTGGGTAAATATGGTAATTTGACTGTGGAACTTTGCCTGAGTGATTCAGAGGAGTTTGTATTACCATAGCCTCTTCAGTCTTCATCAACGTGAGGTTCTTCGCACAGACCTTTGCCAATGGCTCAAGATGGTGGTGTTCATCCTTGACTGTGAAACAGAATAACATATGTTACTTCCAAACTAAAAAACGTTTCTGGACTCCCTCTTTGGAGATCCTGATACTTCGCGTTTCTGCGATAGAGTGCTGCCATCTGTCTTTTAAAAAAATAAAGAAAAAACCCTAACAGGTAAATTTGATGTACAGTCAAGGTTAAGACCAACGATTAGACCCTGTGAGTAGTTAAGCTTTGGCTTCCCAAATGTCTCAGTGGTAATGAATCTGCCTGCCAATGCAGGAGACGTGGGTTTGATCCCTGGGTCTGGAAGATCCCCCTGGAGAAGGAAATGGCAAACCCACTCTAGTATTCTTTCCTGGAGAATTCCATAACAGAGGAGCCTGGCGGGCTGCAGTCCATGGGGTCGCAAAGAGTCATACACGTCTGAGCACACACAGATGGTTAAGCTTTACTATTCTTCCCAACCATGATGGCCTGCAGATTAATTTACTTTGAGTATAATCTCTTGACATTTTTTTAATTTTTTAAGGTAAAATAAAATATATTTTATTAATATTTGTTTAATTTTGCTATTCAGGATTATTATGAAGGTGTGAAAGAGGGTTAGCAACCTCATAACTTGAGTTTTAAGTACCTTTGACAGTACTTCTCATGTTGAAATGAAATCCAAGTATGGAAATCCCCTGATTGGTTTATTTTGGATTATCATTTAGTTGGAGGCATCTCTGGCATTAAATATACAGATTTTACTTCAAGTTACAAGATTATGCTTATAGACAAATGACTTGCCTGTGTTAGGCAAAAGGTAGGCATTTTAAATTGTGTATTTAAATTGTGTATTTTTTTAAGTTAAGTGAAATTTGTTCCCTTTTTCCAGACTAAATATATTTGGAAGATATATGAGAAGATGAAAGACAATCTCCCCTCTTTGGCACCTTTGTAAATACAAAATTGTTTTTCTCTTAAAAACAAGACAGTCTTATTCCACATTTTTAGAAGAGGAGATAGATCTTGACTTGCATGTTTTGGTGTTAGATTTTTGTTGCTGTTTCATATTTAGACACATAATAGCCAGGCTCAGAGAATATTAAAAATTATATTTGTTTTTGGAAGATAGCTAGATTGTTAGAACAGAAACTTTCTTTTTCATAAGATTAATGGGAGTTTGGAATGGGGAGAAGAGACAGTTGGGAAGACCTATATATCATACAGACCAGTTTTCTACTGATTCAGTGCCCTTAAACTGCTTCTCTGTCCTTTAAGATTTATCTGTAAAATGAGTCTATTATATGCTCTTTTGTCTGTTCCAGAGTAAGCTAGGAAAATGAATAGAATTCTCTTTTAAAGGCTTAGAATTGTTAATATAAATGATTAGATATAACTACCTTAAATCTATGTAGTTTACCTTATTTTGTACAAAGATGTGAACCCCACTTTCTCACAATTTTTGGAAATTAGGCATATGGATCTTCATTTTTAACCAATAACTACAGATGATTCTAAGAGCAGGAAAACTCTCCTTAGAGGAAGAACAGGAACTGTGTGTTTTAACGTACTTTTCTCAGAGCCCAGCACATTCTAGCACATGTGGATGTTTAATGAGACTATAGTTCTGGATTAGGGGGAAATTCAGAGGGTTTCTAAAATAGTCCAATTGCATCAGTTCTGTTCTTATTAAAGAAAGTATTGGATAGAGGCCATAGACTAATCTTCTAGAGGAGCTATTTAATCCTCTTGTTGCTGAAAATCACTTGTCTTTTAGGCTGTCAATGAGGTTAATTTTTGGTTTTGTTTTATATTTTAATTTATAGCAGAGATTGGGCAAAAACCCATTTCTAGTTTCATATTATAGTTACAGAGAGTAACGGCACCAAGTGATTGTTGTCATCTCAGTCAGTGTTTTTTAAAAAACCTTTGGGGTAGTATTTCAACAAACCAGTAATCTGGACTTGCGAAGCTCTATCCAAATACCAGAGACTACATCTTAACTAATCTCCTTCCCCCAGATAGCTCTGGGTTACCGAAGGCAGTGAAACTGAATACTATGTGTTTTGAAATTGTCAACTTACTTTTCTGTTTTTTTCTGAAAAGCTTGACTTTGTGATGTGATTTTTCTTTTTCTGTTCTATTCCTCCTCCTCTTCTTTCACAGGCGGCATATTTTCTACCTTCAGCATCACTTAAATGGTAGGTTTCCTCACAGCATGATCCAGTTGCCACCTGCCGACAGTCCTGGGGGAACTTTGAGTGACTTGCACAGTATCCCAGCAGGCCCCCACACATCTCAGGCAATGGAGGTGGATGGACTTAGTGACTTTAGCAAGCAAGGCTATTCCCAGGAAATCAAACGCCTGAAGCGGACTCCAGCTCCAGACTCCCTGGGCCTGGAAATGGAGCACAGGTTCATCGATCAAGTACTGTCCACCTGTCGGAACGTGGAACAAGCCAGGTTTGCCAATGCATACAGAAAATGGCTGGTTACATTGAGTCAATGAAAGAGGTGAATTAGTCCTGCAAAGTTCCCCTTTTTAGTGCAATATCGCTTTTCTTTCTTATTTACATAATTGCATGAACTGTTTGCTACTATTGGCTAACTATATATTCTTCATCTTTAGGCTAAAAGTCCCTAGTAAATCTTTCATTCTATTTATTTTGTTAAGAATTGGCATTCCTTTGGCGATAAAATAATTGTGTAGTTCCTTCTTGCTGAACAGTGAGTCTTAACTTTTTTCTTTTTGACTTCTCATCCTGTATATTCCTATCTTTGAGACTTTTCTCATTTGATTCTCCAGATGGGTTCACACACACCTCAGCCCACCTCAGTGCAGTTGCTGTATAGGCTTTTTTTTTTTTTTGGTTATCAAAAAGTTATGCTATAGTTTAGCTTAAGAAATACAATTTCAGAATTACTTATCTAATTGTTGTTTGGAGAATCAGATGGCCAGGTGGATGAATTTGTGAAAATACACACCATTTCTCTTTCACTAGCATGTTATACTCAAGTCATAGGCCAACATAACCGGTCAGAAATATTGGAATTTATATGAACAACATAGTTCTAATATAATCCATTTTTAAACTAATTATTTTAAAAAACTAATTTTATGAGTTTATGCAATTGTAGTGGAAACTTATTTTTACTACTAGCTTTGATAAGTTTTTTTACCTCAATTAAAATCAATTTTTAAAAAACCTAGAATGCCATTTTTAGTTATTAATACTTATTTTTCTCCAAATTCACCATGCAATATGGCAGGCTTATGCATAGAAATGTATCCATTAAAAACCTTACTTTGTAAAGTTTTTAAGTTACTGAGGATACACTGGATAAAGTATAAAATTTTTATGAAGGGATTATTAAGTTTACTGGCAAAAACCAGGGGGAAAGAATAGTTGTGAAGGTTAGTTCTTCAGTCTATTTTAAAAAATAAAACAATTTAGAAACTTTGATGCTGAATTTATCAGGGATGAGGTACCAAAGTATCCATCTTATATGTTCAATAATAAGGGCTGCATTTTTCAGATAGGTGAGACAGATGTGGTGAAAGTACCAGGTAATATCTGATTTATTGATATGAAGCAATGCTTTGCATTTCTTCTTTCCACACCTTTCTCTTTATTTTCCCCATCCATGGTTTTTTCCTTGTCTATTATATTTCATGGATGTAAACTAAAGATATTCTCCTGTTTCCAGTTAATTCCATACCCCATTAAACACACAAAATATGAATATAAATTGCCCCCTTAAAAGTTACCCTAATGATGCTGTCTATTATCCTATGTGTATAAAATGTAGTAATGGCTGAAACAGTGTGACCACTATGCTCTGCCTGTTTTCCTCTTTTTATTCTAGGCTACCTGTAGGGTAAGAAAGACATGTAGGGAAAAGCAGACCTCTCCTATCTCACTGTTACGGAGACTCTAGACTTGAGTGAGGAACATTGCCTTAAGGGAAAAGAATAGGTCCTTTACTTGTGTATCATGATTTTGTTGAGTGGCAAACTATCAAGTGAGACTTAAGAATACCAAAAAGCTTGTCTAGGCTGGTACTTGTAGACAGAAGCTGCTCTTCTCTCCTAGGGCAAAAATTACCCTTTTATAACTTTTTGTAGTATTTAGGTGAGAAAATGATTGGCATTATGAGCATAATGTTATAACCTTTCATTTACAAAGCATATTTTGAATCAAATACCTCAAGGTCTACCTAGACCTCTGGATAAAGCTATTACTTTATGATTTTTAGCAACTGCAGGGCTTGAGGGGCAAACTGCACACAGATGCCATGGAGATCCAGTCGGTTCCACGAATGTATGTTGCTAGATTTTGGCCTCACTGGTACTTTTCTTCCGAGGATCGTTTTGAGTATCCCGACCACTAGGGCTGCTTATGCTTTGATGTGCGAGTGCGAGAGTGTCAAGACGTGAGTGTAGACAATCTCCTGTGAAACGTCAACTACATTTTATAATGTTGCACACTTTTTATATCTTCCACAAGGTTTCTTGCCCTTCTTTGATGTTAACTGTCTTCTTGTGTTGTAAGTCTCTTAACTCACCCCTGCACAAAGCCATGCAGTCCTTTAATATAGCTTGGTCTCCTGTCTTCCTAATAGTTTTAAGTACCAAGTAAAAATGCAAATATCCAAAGGATACAGTTTGTATCTGACTCTTGTGTGCTACTTTATTTCTAAAATTTGTAGTTTTCAAGTGTTCATTCACAGAAAAACATATTGCCCTGTATAGTTGTGTGCTTTACTCTGAGTGGTTGACATCCAACTCACTAGCTATAGTATGATAATATCTCTTGGACTGAATGAGTTCATGCAGTGGAAAGGATGTATCTATTTTTAGAGATTCATTAGTCTTCACTTACTTTTTGATAAATATGTCACTGTTAAAGGAAAAGATGATTTAGATTAATACACATTTCATCCAACTTTCACTGGAAGAATTGTAGACCATCCTGGGTCAAGAATACTACTGACAAGTGAAAAAAAAGCAATAAGATCTGTAAATATCTTACAGATACAATATCTCTACACTCACTCCTCCCCAATCTTTTTCTTTTTTAAGTGTACCTATTTTGGTAATTGTTCCCAGATTCTGTCTGCCTTGCATATTGTAAGGACTTATTAAATATTTATTAAATTTATGATTGATTAACTGAAGATAGGAAAATTAATCATGAAGGATGCGTAGAGTGAGTTATGATTGAGAAATTGATGGAATAGAGCACTGAATTGTCAATGAATGATGTATTCTGCCTTCATGATACTTAGGAGCAGCTATTGCATATAGAATACCTTAATTTAGATTTTTTTCTTCATTAGACTACTTTGTTTATGCTTGTTAAATCCCAGCCAAGAAATGCATCTGTATGATATCAATTAACTGTACTTTAATGTATTTTAAAAATTCATAGAAGAATGAAGACCATTTTCATTAAGAACACTGCTTCCTATTCATTTATGATGTTGGAGGACAGATCTTGCCCATAGAGCCAGAGCCACTTTGGGGTATCTGAGGAAACTGATTTCAGAGATTTGTTGATCTGTATCTCTGCATAAGTAGTCATTTTATGCTTCTCTTTTTCCCCTCCACAACTTGAACGTTTTTGGATATTTCTTAAACCTGTGAGTCATTTTTTTAAACATCAGGATTTGATACCTTTTAGTGTCCCCTTTTTCTTTTCTATGTTTTAGCATTTTATTACCTCTGGGCCCAGACTTTGAGTCATATTTCTTATTCCAGTCGTACAATTCTAATTTAAATTCAAGGCTTCATTATTTATCAGATTAAATATACAAGATGTCACACAAAGCCACATAAGTCTTCAGATAAGGACTTAGTAACCCAAGACATGCCAATAGAAGTCCTTGGATTTTTATGTGGCTTTTTTTGTAGGAATGCATATATATGGTGATACCCTATCATTTAGATATATTCAGGTCATGTGAATTTATGCTTGTCTAGGTATATACATGTATGTGTGTGTAAAACTTAATATTTTTGAGAACAAATTGTCAGTCTAGTATTTTTCTCTTAATAGCACAAGATGATATCTGACATGAGGGCTAAATATAAATTAAGAATGCTACCACTTGCTATGCAATAATCTAATTTCTACCTTAGTTCCCCTGTTACAGAAGATGCTAAAGATTTAGTTTATCAAAGGAAGTTAGAAAACACTTTTTTTTTTTTGCAAAAAGCCTTTGTAAGCTTAATTATTTTCTTACTAGAAAATTACATTTTAAAACTTTTAAATATTTAAAGTATGCTAGAAAATTTGAACAGCATTGTAACAACTGAACTTTTTGTCTTCTAAATAAATTTCTCAAATAGAGCTATACAGACCCTAGCACTTTACATGCTGCCAGCCTCCTGTGCCTGGGTGTACTCTGTGACGTGCTCCTCTTCACTAGAGAGGTACGTGAAGGCGGAGGAAGGCTTAGGCAAGTTCAGTGTTACGACGGCAGTGAGCAGGAAAAGTCCACCCTGAGGATTCCACTCACCATCACATAGTGTCTTTTAAAAACTAACTGTGCATACTGTGTTTATTTGAGTGCCTTTCTTACTTTTTGCTGAAGCAAGATTATGTTTAATTAACATTTAGGTAAAAATCAAAGGGTGAAAATTTTATTAAACTGTTGATTGATTAGTTATTTTATTTATTCCAGCTGCTAGGCATGGTCTAGTGGAATATTTTATCCTTAAGTGAGTTACTGATATGAGCAAGAAGGATGCTTTGGTTTTCATTTCACTAGTTAGCATTTTCAAGCACCCTACCAGGAAGAATTAGTTCTTTCTCAGTAACAGCTAACTTTTTCGGGATTGGAGGCATCACGTTTAAGAGGATGGCATATTCATAACTAAAGATCAGCCTGAAACCTGTGCAGCCCATATTTAAAGGGAAACAGTGGCTCTCTGTCCTAACAGAAATGCCATATGGTTGTCCTAAGTGAATCCTTTGCCTCATTTTAAGGACTTTTAAGAACTCCTTCCAAAATTCAGGCTGATGGATGATAGTTGAGAGGGGGAAAAAAAAGGAAGTTTAATCTTTTCAAATATTGAAGGAACAGAAGTAAATAATGAGATGAAATTTAAAACGTGGCTTTTTATGTATTTGGGTGTGAAGAGGGGAAGGATCAGAATTCCATATTTCCAGATAGCAAATAACTGTTAATTATAATTTCATTAAAACATATAACTTAAGATTCCAAAGTGCTTTTGAGAGAACTATTGAATATGTATTCCTAAAGGACAGCAATGGGTCATGTTTATGGTAGAAACAGAAAACTATTGTGTCAGTTGTGGGTCGGGGGGTTAATGACCTCAGGTTCCCAACTTGACTTCTGTATTCTCACCAGGCCATGTTAACACTATAAAACCAAACTGTTTACTTAAAAAAAAGAAGAAAAAAATAGCAGTAGCTTATTCTGTTGATGAAATCTTGTGCTTCCAAGCATATCAGCTATATATAGTTTGTGCTTTCTGCACAATAATAGGGCCGACAAAGCTTAACCCTGGCACTTCTTTTATTAATCTGTTGTTATTCCTCAGGGTGTAGAAAATTTAGTAAATTTAGGACAAAACTTTATATTCAGTGGCAAAAAAAAGGTGAAAATATGCTAATATATTACTAGCTCTTAAAAATGTTAGTATAGATAGTATTTTTTATAAACTACTACCATTGCAGTAGCTCATAGACGCTCAGTGACTGCCTCCTTGCTCATCTCACTGCTTTAGTCCCTGTGGCTCTATTGTGAATGTTCTCTTACACATGTCTTCTACAGAAGTGACTTTGTATTGTATTATTTTCCATGTTTAGCAGAGGTAGGGGTGTTTTAGTTGACCTAAGTCTCGGTTTCTGGAAATCCTGTTGAAAAAATGATTACTGTTGGTTTTCAAACTGGTAACTCTTTTGCTTCTTAAAACTTCAGTTTCCCTGAGAGAGTGTTTTGTGTGGAGGCCTTGTATACATGTTCAGTACACTGCATAATGCCTTGCATCTTGTAGGAACTCAGCGGGTCAGAATTGTTAAAGGCTAGAAAGTTAAAACTAGCTTGTTTATCTTAGCACTGTCCGTATCCGTAGCTTCAGGAGAAATACAGTATTGTGTTTAAGATACATAATCAGGTTCAAACATACAAAACAATGATATACAGCTGTATAACATTGTAAGTGAAATTTAGATACTTTTAAGGCATACAAATGTGTGTGTATTCACATATATATATGTATATATATTTAAGTGAGATTTGGAATTTCAACTTATATAGTGGTTTTACAAAGATTTTTATCCAAAGGACTTTTATTTTCGTACTTGCTTGAAGTGCTCCTGTTTAAAAGCAGTTTTCTTTATTACACCAGCCCCCCTCAAGCAAAATTGGAAACCTAACACAAGTGCCCGTTTGCTTGAATGAACCAGATATTGGTGTAAACTATTCATAGTAAATCTTTGGTTGCTTATGAACCATGACATTTTGACTCTTCTTCCATACCTATAGGGAATCAGCCTTAATTTTATGTATGGCAGTCACTTTCCTCAAAGTACTATGCAGCACACTTCAAATGTTTATCTTTATAAAGCGATCAATAATAAATTTGAGATTTTTCAATATCATAGGGATGAACAGTTTCACACGTTCAGATATTGATTCATACAGCAGTCTGTTAGAAATGCTAATACTTTATCCTCCCTCACAAATGTCATCTTGCATTTGGAGCAGACTTTTTTTTCCTATTAGTTAAAGAACAAGTATAGGCTGAATGCACTCATAGTAGGTGCTCAGTAAATACTTGGTGGATTATTGATCTAACATCAGTGTAACAGCTTTCAGAAAGGAGACTTGTCATTTTCTCATTGAAGAGTTTATTTTTATAGTAATATATGTTTGAAACTGGAAATTTTTCTCATTTGATATGAATTAGGCTTATTTAGGTTGGAGTTAGTAACATGTAATAAAAAATTTTAAATTGTTTATGTAGAAATGATCTGAAGATAGATATGAAAAGTTTAAGTAGTATCTCTGTGCAAGGCACATTCATGAATGTGATTAAATGTCTTAATAGGCTGCTGAACTCTAGAGAGAATTGCTATAGTCTTCTGCAATCAGATTCTCTGTTGGTCTGTCTAGTATTTTCTAGTATCTCTCTCTGCATGTGTGCTCAGTAGTGTCTGACTCTTTGCAACCCCATGGAGCTGTAGTCCACCAGGCTTCTCTGTTCATGGGGTTTCCCAGGCAAGAATACTGGAGTGGGTTGCCATTTCCTACTCCAGGGGATCTTCCTGACCCAGGGATCAAACCCACATTTCTTTGTCTCCTGTATTGGCACGCACCACCTGGGAATCTCTGTTTTCTGGTATAAGTTCTGTTTATTTCTCCCTAAGTCTTGGTTACTTTCCAGTGTCTTAAAAGTAGTCATCGCAAAATGAGGGAGAAATTTGTATGAATAACCTAGTAGTTTGAGTCTGTTAATTTGTGACTTTCAGAGCATTTTTGACAGAGTTTACCTAATACAAACATTTAAACAGTTTAAAAACAAGCATTCCAACCTGAGATGTGACAAGCGGAATATGCAGCGCAGGCACAGTTAGGCAGGCCTCCTGATGGGATTGTTGATGAGCGACTAGCACTGGCTTCTGACTGAGGTGACCACTGTCGGTATTGTATGTTGGTATTTGTTGTTCCTAGGAGAATAATGGTGTATATATGGAGTATGTACTAGGTTAACTTGTTTTTGAATTGGACAAAATAGAAGATGAGATATTTATAAATACGCCAAATATTTATACACCCTGCTACAAAGAAACTAAAAAAAGTAAGAAAATGCTAAGAGAGCAGTGATCTTATTTTTTCTTCATAGCTTCTAAAAAAAATTTTTTTTCACCTCAAGTCTCTTGGACACTAGGCAATTGCTTACTTTAACACTGAGGGACTTTAAAGTATAGTTCTCAGACACTATATTCTGCTATTAGATTTCACCAGGTCTGTTAATTTTACATGCTTAAAGATTTTCCAGAAAATGGAGTAATTAAGTTGCAGTCAGTGTTAAGATTAAATGAACAATGTAGATTATGATTAAATGGGACAAGTTACATGTATGATCTGTGGTGCAAGGTCAGATCCTGGATATTAAAGATGAATTTGGCTAACTTATTTTACTGAAGATACTAATTGCCTTCACTCTGATTGCGCTGCTATTTTTCTTAAACTATTTTCCCCCAGTATTACAGTCGGCATTGAATTTCATTTAGCATTTACCATATTCTAGTTGACGTTTTTTAAGGATTAAATATTTTGTGAATTCTTTTTACACTTAAAACGTGTACCTTGCAGAGGGATAAAAATAAATTTTGTAATAATGTATTTACAGTATGTGCTTATGGTGTTCTGGGAGCTAATACTCCAGAGTGCTTTAAGAGTGATAAATAAATTCTAAGGCTTATATAATGACTATAGATTTTCTGTATCAGCACTGTCCAGTAAAAACAAATGCAAGCCACATAACGTAATTTAAAACTTTAAAGCTAGTAGCCACGTTAAATAAAGAAATACATAAAATTACCTTTAATAATATATTTTAAATAACCCAATATATTAAAAATATTATCTTTTACATGTGTAACCTATATACAGAATTGAGGTGTTTTACCTTTTTTTCCCCATAGAAAGTCCTCAACATTCAGCTTGTATTTTGCACTCATGAGCATCTCAGTTCTGACTAGCTACATTTCAAATGCTCAAAAAGCCACTTATGGCTGGGGGCTGCTCTGTTGGACAAAGCAGATTCATAGAGTACAAAGTATGGCTTTGTTTTAATTTAGAGATGCTGAGGTAGGCATGAAATTATGGTACTTTAAAAATTATTTATTATACTTAGAAGAGAATCGAACAGAATTATCCACTTGTTTTTCTTTTCCTTCATTTTAAATTTTCTTTAGAAGTTGGCTCAACCTGTTTCATTTTGCCAAGCCTTATTTGAGGAAGTTATTCCATGCCTTGTAAAATACCATAATATACTAATTATAACCACACATTATTAAAAATACATTTTTCAATGTGTTCACTAAATTCTGTCCTGTTTCTTCAAAATAATAGCTTAAATTGCATGTTAATTGTATATCTGTACCTATTTTGTTCTTATCATTATAATACAATAATGTGTATTTAGCAAATAGCCCTAGGATTCTAATCTTCCCATGCAGCTGTCCTCCAGTACTTATTGGTACACTTATTAAATTGTAATAAGTTGCAAAAAAGTAGAATGAAACTCTTCTTTTTTTTCCATTAGATTTGTTTTTATCATGTGACCATGTGTACCAAGCCAGCTATAAATTACTATATTTCTGTAGAATATGGAAAATAGCGTTTATGTCTTATCTTTGCTAAATGTTTGCAATTTTAAAGTAAATTTTTCATCTCCTAAAATGAGTGTTAAGTATGACTTTATTTTTACTTGTAGTGTTTTAAAATTCAACTTGAGTCACCCAGCCTATCTTATTTAATTGCTGTGATGGTGGTAGTTGGGTGGAGGTGTGAGCTGTTGTCTGTGTGAAACCAATGATCTGATTACATTTGTAAACAGAGTTTTAAAATATCATTTGTGTCTAGAATATTAAAACAAAAAGCCAGAAACAAATGAGAGAAATTGTCATAGTTGTCTCTAGACTGCATTAATAATGAGTAGTTGACTTAACGAAATCATCAATATGACTAGATATACTTCTTCCTATATATTTCAAATAAAGGTATAGAACAGGGAATTACTTGATTATTTCAGTGTTACATCCCATGTTTTCTTAATCTTGAGTCTCACTTCTGTACAAGACAGAGCATTTAGAGTTAGAGCTACTTAAAAGATAAAACATACATAAGCTCCAAAAAGTATTTGATGAAATGGACACTTTTTTTACTCAGATTTTAAATATTTCAGGGACTTCCTCCATGGTTCAATGGTTAAGGCTCTGTACTCCCACTGCATGAGACACAGGTTCAATCCCTGATTAAGGAACTAAGATCCCACATGCCACATGTATGTGACCAAAATATATATATATATATATACATATTTGTTTCAAAAAGATGTTTCATGGGAAAAGGCCTTTGTTACTTTGTCCCATGACTACTAAGGATTATACTTTAAATAATGCACTCCTATTATCTACATCTGTTTTTGGTTGGAAATAGGATATAGATACATAGATACAGATATAGGCTCACCTGGTGGCTCAGGCAGTAAAGTATCTGCCTGCAGTGCAGGAGAAGCGGGTTCAATCCCTAGTTGGTAAGATCTCCTGGAGAAGGGAAAGGCAACCCACTCCAGTATTCTTGCCTAGAGAATCCCATAGACAGAGGAGCCTGGTGGGCTACAGTCCATGGGGTCACAAAGAGTCAGACATGACCTAGCAACTAAGCGCATACAGCAAGATACAGAATTTACTTTGCATTGGTTCAAGTACCATGAACAATGTTTAGTCCACAGTATTGTTTTTGATCTGATATCCTAGGGAAGGGAAGTAGTTTACTAAAGACAGTCTTGATTTCAATGAGTAATCAGATTACATAAGAAATCTGACAACAGTTAGTATTACCAAAGCACTTCACTTAATAGGGTGCTCCTTGAACAATAACAGAGGCAGGATAATACACTAGCCAGTTACAACTTTTAAATACCTTTCATCATTTGTCTGTATTTGGCAGTATCACTTTCCTCATGCTGGAAGCTCAATTTTTTGCTTTTGGTGGTTTGTTTTTTTTTTTCCTTTTTATTAAATGGCATGACTTCTATCTTTTCACTCAACTCCAGAATGGCTAGACTGGGCATCAACTGTATTTAACAAGTTATAGTAAGCCTTTTTCTTATAAGAAGTACTCTATTATTATATGTGTCCCATGTTACAGCAGAAGTTGAAAGTAGATGCAATAATTTTTATATTCTCTTTCAAAGAAAGATTTTTAGAATAATCCTGGTTGCTAGGAGGAATTCCCTTACCACTCCTTAATTATATGAACAGACAGATATACTTTTGAATTTACACTTTCATTATTGGAGTCCTCTAAAGATATGTAAATCCTCTGAAGATATATAAATCTCTTATATTAGATTCCTCATGTACCTCTCACAGTAATTACAAGTGAATGATGCAAGGTCAACTTTCTGTGTAGGGGAGAAATGGGCTGAAGTGGCCCTCCATCATATTTCTGTTTTCTAATATTTCTTAAATTGCTAGTGATCTCCCTAGACACACTGTTTAGAGAATACTGGAAAGTGAGTGAGTAAGTGGGATTGTTGCCACATTAGACACCCCATTTATTTTATTTTCAAGGAAGTTTTGTAGTCTCACCACCATAGCTCAGCTGGTAAAGAATCTGCCTGCAAGGCTGGAGACCTGATTTCGATCCCTGGATTGGGAAGATCCCCTGGAGAAGAGAAAGGCTACTCACTCCAATATTCTGGCCTCAAGAATTCCATGGACTTTATAGTCCGTGGGGTCTCAAAGACTTGGACACAACTGAGCAACTTTCACTCACACACTCACTCACCTACTAAGGGCCCCTGGAGCAAAAATAATCACTAGTTCTCTCTTGTCTGTCATTAAGAGGTGACACATTAATTTGTGACATTAATCTCATAAGTCTTAATGTCAGTTATTCCATGTGAGGAAATTTTTAAAGCATTTTATGTAGTATTTCTATAGTAAAACGAGAAACAACTTGAATACACAACAGTAAGAGATTCAGTAAATTGGCATTTTCCTACAGTGGTATAATACATACCTTAACAAAAAACCCCAATATGTAATTATATGGAAAAAAAAAAACTCATATCTAAAAAATAAGTTATAAAGAAGTATATAAGATTGTAATTTTATTTAAAAAATTAAGATTAATTCCCCTTTCCAGTAGTGGCAGGACCAACACTCCTACTGCTGCTGCTGCTAAGTCACTTCGGTTGTGTCCGACTCTGTGCGACCCCACAGACGGCAGCCTACAATGCTCCTCCATCCCTGGGATTCTCCAGGCAAGAACACGAGTGGGTTGCCGTTTCCTTCTCCAGTGCATGAAAGTGAAAAGTGAAAGTGAAGTTGCTCAGTTGTGTCTAACTCTTTGCAACTCCATGGACTGCAGCCTACCAGGCTCCTCCATCCATGGGATTATCCAGGCAAGAGTACTGGAGTGGGTCGCCATTGCCTTCTCCAACTGGACACAACTAAAACTTTTGGGAAAAAATACCAAAATTTTTCTTCAAAGCAGGATAAATAAAAAGAAATCCAATCATACTGAAACTGCAGGACACGGCAGCAATAGAACCTTAAAAGTAACTGAAGATAAGACATTATACAATAGCTGACTTCTCATTAGCAACATTTAAAGTCAAAAGACAGTGGGAATGGTAAGCTCAATGTGCTGGAATGATGTAACTGCCATTATAGAATTCTATATACAGAAAAAGCTATTTGAGGAATTATATATATTGGGTTGGCCAAAAGGTTTGTTTGGGTTTTTCCATAAGCTACTATGGGAAAACCCAAATTTTTTTTGCCAATCCAATATTATATATTATGTAAAATAATTATATTTTTATATAAATTTAATTACTAAAGTTATATATGAAATTCTGTATATAAATTGTATTTGAGGAATTTTACATATATACATATGTAATTCCTTTCATGTAAGATCTTTAAAATAGATGGTTAAACCTATGAAAAAAGCAAAAGAAAAATTGTTGTAAAGGTCAAGGTAATGGTTGTTTCTAGTTGGGGAATAATGGAACCATGATCAAGGATTGCATCAAGATGGGTAACTTCTGGGATGCTGATGGGGTTTTGTCTTGAACTGGATCATGGACACATATTTTATGCACTTTGCTCATTGTTGCTATCACAATAATAGAAAAATATTTTAAAATCAGAGTACAACATTATTTTTAAGTTAAAAGTACAATATTTATGAACTCGACAGCATATAAAATATCCCTCCCAAATTGATCTGTAGATTCAACACTTTATCAAAATTCCAGTGGGTTTTTTCAGTGAAATTAATGAATTACTTTAAATTTATGTGGAAATGAAAAGGATTTAAAATAACCAAATGATTTTGAAAAGATGGCTTACTATAAAGCTATAGTAATTAAGTCTGATTTTTGACATAAGAATAGACAGATCAGTAGAACAGAATAGGTTTGTTCCCAGACCCGGGTTTGATCCCTAGGTCGGGAAGACCCACTGGAGAAGGAAATGGCAACCCACTCCAGTACTCTTGCCTGGAAAATTCCATGGATGGAGGAGCCTGGGAGGCTACAGTTCATGGGGTCGCAAAGAGTCGGACACAACTGAGTGACTTCACTTCACTTATGTACAGTCAACTGAATTTTGACCAAGGTACTAAAGTCATTTCAATGGGGAAATCTAATAAATAGTGCTGGAACAACAAGATACCTATATGGAAAGAATTGAACCTCAACACTTAACCTCTTGTAATTTATAGAAGTTAATTAAAAATGGATCATAGAACAGAATGTAAAACTAATAACCCATAATATTTCTAGAAAACAGGAGAATAGTTTTCCAGCCCTAAGGTAGAAACAGTTTATTGAACTGGATACAAAAAGGTCTAAATCTGATCAGTAAAAAATTTGAAGCTAGAAGGCCATAAAATGGGTAGGAGTGTGTGCATGTTCAGGAAAGACCTGAGAAGGTCATAAGCTGTCACCTCGCACAGCAAAAGCAGGATGTGAAGGCTAAGACAGTTTCGATTGCCTGGGTAATATGGAAGGCATGCCCCAACAAGCACACATGGTCCTATCAATAACTGGGAGATGTGAATCACGGAAATCTCTGTCCAGTCATTAGCTGACCACTATGTTACTGAGGAGAGACTTGTCTTGAACTGAATCATGGACACATGTTTTATGCACTTTGCTCATTGTTACTATCACAATAATAGAAAAATATTTTAATGAGGTATCTTGCAGGCCCATCAAAAGTGTACCACTTTGTTGGGGGATGTTGATAATGACAAAGGCCATGCATGTATAGGGACAGAGCTTAATGGAAAGTCTCAGTTTTGTTGTGAGCTTAGAACCACTCTAAAAAAATAAAATCTGTTTAAAAAAAAAGTCTCACAGTGGCAATGTAATTTTAGGACTTCAAATTTGAGTTTTTTATTGAAGGCATGGAAATTTGGAAACAAGTCTTAAGATATTTGACACTTTAATTTTTAAAGGTGGTTTAAAAACATAAATGTATGTTTCTGGGTAATATTTGGACATATAAATATTGTTTTTAAAAAACACAAGGTCCAACTATAAACTGTCTGCAAGACTCATACTTCAGATTTGAAAATAGATACTAAGTTGAAAGTGAAAGGATGTAGGAAGATATACTGTGCAAAAGAGAACTGCAGGTAGTGCTCAGACAAAATAG